GGGCGAAGAGACTTGAAAGCTGTCAAAATCAGCGAGATGCCTGCGGAGGGATGGCAGTGAGACTTGAGAGACGCGACGGCGACCGACCGCGGCCGCTCCCGTCTCACCCTTACCTGATGCAGCGCGGTGAGGCCGTCGACATTCCCGGTGTTGATGTCCGCCCCCTTCTGCAACAGACGCACGACCTCCTCCTTGTCGCTGGCCGCGCACGCCGCCAGGAACACGATGTCGGCGGAGAACTTGATCTTGCGCGCGACTTGGCGCGGCTGCGTGGGCTCGCGATTCGTCTCGGACTGCTCCCAACGCTTGAGCTGTTCGGCTCGCTTGAACAGGGCCGAGCTCGAACGTGTCTCGAGAGACATTGCCCCGACGACGGCGGCGGCGGTGAGGACGGTGGTAGCGGCGGCGGCGGCAGCGGCGGCGGCGGCGGCGGTGGCGGCGGTGGCGGCGGCGGTGGCGGCGGCGACGACAGACGGCGAAGAGAAAAAAGCACGACGCGCTCGTCCGAGCGCTCTCGCGCGCTCCTCTTCTCAAGGGGGCAAGAAGGCAGAGAAGCGCGGCGGGCGCAGGCTGCTCCTATAATCGCTCCTCTTGTCGCGCGCACGGGCTTCTCTCCTTCTTCTCGCTTGGCACACGCGCGCGGCCGCGCGCCACACATGCAAGCCGACGACGACGACGACGACGACGACGACGACGCGCACACGGTCGGTCTCACTCACTCATTCACTCGCGCTCGTTGTCGCTCGCGCTCCCTCGCTCGCTCCGCTCGTTCTCCCGCGGCCCGCCGCTCCCGTTCCCTCGCGGTCCTATCTTATCCGTTTCTCGCTCCCTCTCTTCCTTGCCCTTCTTCGCGCGCCCTTCGTGTCTTCCACCTCGCGCTCGGCACGGTGCGACGGTGGTGACGACGACGACGATTACGATTACGATGACGGCGATGATGATAATGATGACGGCGGCGGCAGCGGCGGCGACGACGACGGCGGCGGCGACTGCGCTACGTGAACACGCACGCACGCACGCACACACACTCGCGCTTCACTGCGCGCGACGGCACGGCACGTGAAACAGGCGTTTCCCGCGATTCTGCTCCATATATGAGAGAGCGAATCGCGCTCCCGGGGCCGTTCTCCCGTCCGAGTGTTATTGTCGATCGCGCCGGAGTCTCTCGCCTTTGACGGGGTTACCCGGAGGGAGCGGTCGTGCGCACGGTCGCCGTTCTCGGTCGAACACCACCTCTGCTAGGCACTCATTTACGGAAACGGCTTAGACTCGCGTGCTCCTCGCTATTCTTGGCCGCGCTCCCTCGCGCCGCGCTTCCATGCCGGACGAGTGCTCGGATACGAAAACTCTCTCTCGGGCTCGCGTAGTCGCCAACGCGCGCTCGAACGTCGCTATATCCCTAAACGGGGGTAAACGGACGGCGACTAGGAATTTCGACTGCCAATACCTTCGTCCCTACGAAGCGGCTTCTCTTATTGGACAGTCAAAAAGTTTCTAGCGACCAGCGTCGTACTGTTTCATACAAAATTCTATCGGGAAAATCTTTTAACAAATAAATATCTAACAAGAATATATATTTTCGCATAAACTTAGTCGACACTTAATAATTTCTTCAACAATTTCCTTAAAAAATTGTTTGTGTTTCGTAAGAATTGAATTTTAATTACTTTTCAAATATAATTAAAAAGATTTGACAATTATCAAGATAATTTTAATTAATTATTTTTACGCTACACAATTAACCGGTATAAATAAATTAAACAATTTTTTTGGTACGAAGAGTATTAAAGTATAATTTGAAAAAGATATATTTGACAGTCAAGACTTTACTATATTAATTTAACATTTAATTTACAATCATAAATTTATATTAATAATCGATAATATAGACGCTCTTTAATTACCTCCAGGTTCTTTAATGATTAAAGAAAAATTTGCTCAGGATTGACGATCTTTAAATAGTATCTCATCGCCCTCATCGGTGATAGTCATTTGAACTTAAATATTTTTAAAATATGTAAGCAACCGACATATGAGACATATCGGTTTGTTTGAAAAGAGTTTTTTATTTGACAAAAAAAAAACATTTACGAAGACATTATAGCGAGTAAGCGATGAAGGCCAATCACTTCCTATACATAGTTATTATTTCTATTGAAAGACAAAAGCTGATTTAATTGGCGTACAAATCGCGCTTTATCGTCTATTCTCACAAAGAAATTTAATTCCCTAGCCGTTGTGACGTCGTCGCGCGGGGGAGGGAGACGTAAATTACGATGTATCTTCCTCCCATCGGGCCGTTATCTCGAGTAGCATGTGATTCATGCCGTGGTACTTGCTCTTTTTTTTCCTTCTTTACGCTTTTTCACCCACCATGGGATAATTTTGATTTTACCGAGACTCATCGTCGATTGAAGGTTAATCGTCCCCCCGTCTTTAATTCTAAAGCCAAGGATAAGCCGCGCGACGAAACTCGAGTGCGCGACCGGTCGACGAGATGGATATCGAGCACGTACTGAAAAACGACATCGGGCATTGTCTGAGGATGATAGTGTCGGGGGACGACGCGGCCGTTAGCGGCGGCTGGCTGATGCTGCAGAATCGCGAATTCGGCCAAATGACCGACTGCGAGGACATCCTGAGGGACGTCCTCCGTAGTAAGATCGTGAACGTGTCGCAGGTGCCGAAGATCATGGACTGGATATCGGATCACATCGCGGAGAGGCGTTTCAACATCAATCCCATTTCGAACGACGTCGCCCTGCTGCTGCGGAACACGGACATCGACGACCTGTCGCACTTGACCGAGCTTCTGGCGGCACTGGCGGCTCACAGGGTGTACCTGCCCAGATCGGCGAATCACACGAAGCTCTGCGAGGCGATAGTCACGAGCCTGTCCACCTTTCAGATGCCCTTGGAGGCGGAAAACATAGTCGAGTTCTACGACAACACCACCAAGATCCAGCACTTTCTCAAGGGGCTGTGTTCAAACACAAAGAACGGCGAGCGTGACATTTTGATGTTTACATGCCTCCAAACTCTGTACAACATCATATCCGACACAAGCAGGAAGGAGGAGCCGGGCCCGGGACTCGCTGCCATATTGCAGCTGGTGGAAGCCGCCGTTATTCCGCAGGCGGTCGACTGGATCCTGTCCCAGTCGCACACCGACCATCAGCTGATACAGGCCTTGAAAGTTCTGTGCAACTGGCTGCCGAAATGGCGTGAGGATCGACTCAACCGTTGGATTATGGAGTTTATCCTTGGCTTGGAGAAGCAACACAAATATTCCACCCTCCTCGAGCTCACCGAGTCGTCGATAGACACAGTAACGTTAATGTGCAAAGTGTTGCTGTTACCAGTGTTCCGTCAAAACTCCAACATTATATTTTATATCTTAAAGAGACAGAGCTCGTTGTCGTTTGTTCAGAGCGTGGCTAAGAACATACCGGCGTTGATAAAGAGCCTGATGAAGGAAGATTCCGATTCCAGTAAGGAGTGCATACAGAACCTGGTCGACATCATGAAGGTCTACAGCAAGAGATTCTCCACCTGTATACCCTGCGGAAGCGCGGAAAACTATCCTTTCCCTGTACTGCCGCAGATGCACGTTGTCAGAGAACTCTGCAGAGAGCCGGTGTGGATAGACGAGACGAAGGAGTTCGAGCCGATCGTGGAACCGGAGAGGCCGCTGTCTGGAAAAGTTGGACTCTCCAATCTGGGAAATACGTGCTATATGAATAGTGTGTTACAAGCCTTATTGATGACCAGACAGTTCTGCCAAGAAGTATTGAATTATCGTTCCTTGAATGAATCGTGTAAAACACCCCTGCTGGAGAAACTTCAAAATTTATTTGCACTACTGTTATATTCCAAGAGAATATGTTTGGCGCCGACTGATGTATTACGAGCGTCACGGCCAACATATTTTTTACCTGGGCAACAACAGGACAGTTCAGAATTTCTCTGGTTAGTATATTATCTTTGATTATATCTCGTTTTTACTTCAAATTGTAATTTTAAAAATTTCTATTCGCCATCTCGGCACATAAATTTAAATTCTGAATATAAAAAATAATCTAAATTTAATCAACTATTGATAAAAAAATTATTTGCAGTCATCTTTTGGATGTTCTACACGAGCAAGAAAAATCCGCTAATTCAAACTGTGGAGGAAATGATAGCGCAACTCTCAAAAGTAAAATTGAGAAGCAGGAAGACGACGTAACGTTGCCGATGGAATCAACAAAAAGTAGCATTAAACGTTGGACGACTGAAGAAGACCTAACAGAAGGCTTGGCTTTGCAACGGAAAACGCAATCATTGGCGGATTTTACACGAGGTGATTTTCGTTTATATATGATTAAATAAAGCATACTCTCGCAATCTCTCTTTTCACTGTTTACATTTACATATATATACAGTCTGTATTTGTTTTGAATATTTTGAACGTTTTTGTAACAGGCGAAGAGCTAGGACAACGGCTTAGCGATTCTCATTCGGATTCGACCGACAGCGGTATACAGTCCGTAGGTGGCGAAGAAACGGGCGCGTACACGTCTCTCGTGCACAGGGTGCTGGGCGGAGAGTGTCAGATCACTTATCAATGCGCACAATGCGACACGAGTTCTCGCAACACGGACAAATTCCGCGACCTGCAGCTGTGCTTTCCCGAGGAGATACAGGAGAATCAGGAGGTCTCCGTTCAGGATCTCATCAACTACTATCTCACGCCGGAGAAGCTCACGGGGGAGAACAAGTACCGATGCGACAAGTGTACGAAGTTGTGCGACGCGCAGAGGATCATCACGATCCTCCAGGCACCCGCGCACCTGATTCTAACGCTGAAACACTTCCGTTACGATTTCGACACTCGATTAAGGACGAAACTTCGGCACAAGGTAGTGTACAACGACACCATACAGCTGCCGGTGTCGGCGATACCGCACACCGTGGCCGAGACGTACCACTTGTACGCCGCTGTCGTGCATTCCGGATACAGTATGGATTACGGGCACTACTTCACGTACGCCTGCGACTCCAAGCAGAGCTGGTACAAATTTAACGACAGTTTCGTGACCCAGACCACGTTCGAGGACTTCAAGAGCTTGAAACCGCCCGACACGCCGTACATCCTGTTCTACGAGAAGTCGGGGGCACACGACGGGATCTACGAGGACGACAAGCCCGAGTTGCCGACCATGAGCAAACGTATACAGGAATTGATAGCGAACGACACCACGGATTACATAGAGGAGCTCAGACGTCGGGCGATAGCGTCGCAACGTAGCCAACTTCCTTCGACGAAACCCCTGAGGCAGCATAACAATTCGGACGATGATAATCCGCCACCCAGCAGCTGTCGCGGTGCAATCGACGTCCCGGCGAATCGCTTTCTTTATTGAAAAAAACGGAAGAATCTGTTAACACGCAGCGGCGACAAATCTTGCCAATTGCAAACAACTCTGTATTTATTCTAAGTATTTTATATATACATATACTATAGATAACAAAAAATCGCAATCACATGTATAATCGCAGAAAAGGCGGGTATGGTTCTATACCATATTGTATCGCTGTGGAAAATTTCATTAAGAATTGATATTTTACATCTTACTTTTACCAAATAGAATCTATATGTAACATTGTACATGTACATCACGCTAACAACTTACATTATTTACTACTGTAACTGTCGACGACGTTGTTACGTTTTTTGCGGAAAAATGGTTGCGGCAAAATAGTGCGAGATGCTATGATAACCAGAACTCGAATCTGTGCAAAACGGATATGTACATAAAATATAAACGAATACATATATGAGTGATAATTACACGAGCAAACACGTTTATACATATACGAGAGGAGTACGCATTAAGATTATGAAACAAATTAGCGTTTTTATTTATTAGCCGCTTAGTAATCTATTATAATGTGTTCAGCATGTTTGCTTAAACCAACTCGGTTATTTTTAAATTTATGTGTTACTGTGAAGAGAATTGTATATTGGAACATCAAGTTTTACTTTTATCGTCATACTTTTTTTTTTATAAAGTTTTACGTTAACTGTGTGCGCGTGTGTGTGTATACTCTATTAAATTACATTTCATTAAATACAATACTTCTCATTTTATATAATAATACCTCGGCAAATATATTAAACCGGCAACTGTATGGTATTAAACATTTTTAAAGTAACTATAATTTTATTACACACATGCAAAGTACTATTATATTAATTTTTAAGCTATTATTTATATGATGAAAAAATACAATATTTTATTTTTTTTTTTTCATGCAAATTTATAAGTTTGTTTGGTACATCTGGCGAAAATAGTTTAGCCAGCATTTGAAATATTTTGAAAGAAAGTTTCTAAGAATATTGTCTTTTGTTTTCTTGAAGATAACTAATTGCATAAATTTCTGAATTATTTTGTTAGACGTTAAATATCAAGGGTGAGCAAATAATAAGTGCCTCACTCTCTCTCCTCTCTCTCTCTCTCTCTCTCTCTACGCATACAAAATATTACAAAATTCTACTGATGAAAATCTTTTGATGTGTACACGATATAGTATATACATTTCTGACATTTTATGTCGGTAGAATTTTGTAAAATTCTGTATATATATTGTAAAAAGCCTCTTGATAGTTAAAGTAACTAATTCTATAAGATTAAGCTGGTTACTTAATTATATATATGAAATATGTTGTTGATGTTAATAAATAAATACATCATCATAACATCGTTAACTTGAAAATCGATAACTTGAGAACAGATTTTATAAAATAATACCACGTCGTGAATTTTACATATTTATTAAAAAAAAGTATCATCCGCGGAGTGCTTGTATGAAGTTACCAGTGTTGTTACGAAGATATTAAGAAAAAGAAAAATGAGAAATACGATCATCGGCTGTGGTTCTTTGTACATGTGTTGTGTTATTACAAAACAGTATTTACTAAGTACAAGAGATATTACCTGATTTAATATTGTTGTAATTGTTACGTTGCGATTGCTTGTAAGCTTATTGAATGCACCTTGTCATAAAAAAAAACGTAATTTATAAAATAAAATTAGCGTATAGTTGATAGGTGTGTGTACATATATGTATAAGCGTACGCGTCTTTTTACAATATAATATAATATATGCGATGTTTGTCTAAATGTGCCACACATGAGCTTTTATTTATTGACTCGATTTTCACTATTTCATGCTTACCTTCAAAGTTGTAAACCTTTCTAATTAACGACTCGAAAGACTCTTTGTAATTAACGTCCGTTTTTTTAAAGCATAATATAGGTGGACTTATACTCGTATTTGCGCTCATTTATATAAGTTGTATAGTAAAAGTTCTTTGGGCTTTAAAATTACAAAAGTTGGGAGAATATAGAGATTTAATGTTATTATAAATTGTTTATTTTAATTTTAAGAGTACCGCGCAATATTCCAAACTCTCCGTAAATCTGTGATAACTTTCTACTTTCGAACTGACGATATTAATTTTTTTCTAACTCATTGAAACGCGGACTTTATAATTTAAGTTTATACTTATATATATTATACAGCTTCTGTTAAGGCTGCAGTACTCTAGCGAGTATAGTTAATGTTATATAATACTGGAATAATTAAATTATATTTGTGAAAGAGAAAAAAAGATCCATTTATTGCCAATATCAACTAATATTAATTGTGCAATATTTAATACCATTTAATACCATTTAAAATATAGTTCGCTAAAGATTAAAATGTAAGTTTAGTAATTATAATAAATTTCAAAAAATATTAAAAAATGTTAAAAGGTAATTATGTTATCTTGATTGACAATCTGCCGCTGTTTATTCTTGTTTTTTAAACTATAAATTGATAAGACAGGTTTCTTAAAACAAATAGATACAGTATTCTGATGTGATAAAAAAGTTAAAACAGTAATATTATGCATTAGTATTTTTCAATGGCATATGTATGTATTATATGTATGTGTGTGTGTGTGTGTGTGTGTGTAAAAGATATTTAAGATAAATAACATAAATTTCCACAATTACGCACAACGTGACATTCAATAATGAAAATTATGTTATAATTTTTCAAATCTCCCAAACAAGATGCGCATCTAAAAAAATGTCATTTTTTCAAGAAGATACAGATAGATTTTTATCAGAAAGTATAGACGTCACATAAAAAATTGTTTTTCTGATAACTTTATAAGCCATTTCAAAAATTTTAAGACATTAATATTCTCTTTGCTGTTTTGTTTGATAATGACAACCTTTGATTATATCAACCTCTTGAAATGCTTTAGATAAAACTGATATGATACTATCTGCATCTTCTAGATAGAACTGTATTCATTGTTATAAACTCAATCACATTTAATATTTGTTCGTGGCGTGTCGCGTGATTGTGTCGAAAACATGAAGAAAATATATCTCGCTGCTGTATCAGGTACGTACATATTACAATTACAGACCAGAAAAAAATTTTGTTATTGATATTTATTCAATTATTTATTATTACATAAAAATAAATTTAGTTCTTTTGTAATTTCTCTAATTCATTCTTATTTCATTTGTTTAAATATCCATCTTTTATTTTTTGTATTATATTATTTAATATTAATTATTACATAATTTATTATGAATTTTGTTTAATGATTTAATTATTTACTGAATATTCAAACGCAGATTTTATTATGCCAATTTTAAACTAAAGTGGTTCTTTAGCTATAATATAAATTTAGTATAGTATTTTAGAATTAAAAAAATTTTGCGAGTGAAATTAACGAATAAAGAATAATCTACTTTGCACTGGAAAAAGAATTCGGTTGCATTAACTAAAATTTTGGTCGATTCAACCAATATATCTGTTCGAAAATCGAATCAGAATTCTTGTAGGATTTACCAGATAAATATAATTAATTCCTTGCTGTTAAATATACCAGAATTTCTTGTTAATAATATAAAACTATTAGAATTATTAGAATGCACTGCGGTTAACGTTAACAAGAATTTTAGTTGCACATTTCTTTTAACTAGAAATTTTAGATCCAACTGAAAATAACCAAATCCTTATAATAAAGTTCATCAAACGTTCTAGTTATAAAATATCGACTTCTATCATATATGATAACTAGAAGTTTCACTTGGTTTCACCAAAATACATTCTATCATATATATCTTGTTACTATAATCAATACTTTCTCTGTACTTTTACGCAGTATGTAAATAGAATCTATAAAGAATCTTTATGAACCAAATTTGTAAAAATTTTATCTTTTATTTAATTAGTAAAATTAATGATATGTTAAATTCTCTCTTCAAAACCCATTGTCTTAATAGGAAATCTAGGTATGCTGTCAGCCGGCTTATTTATCGGTTGGGCATCGCCATCCTTGCCTTTTCTGTTGCACGGCGATAATGCTGGCTATCCTGTACGTTTGAATTTGGAAGAAGTTTCTTGGGTGACATCTTTACTCACTTTGGGTGCCGCCACGGGTTGCGTTACTTCTGCATTAATGGTGAACGTTATCGGCAGGAAAAACACCATGTTATTTACAATACTGCCTTCAGTAATCGCTTGGTTGCTGATAGCCTTCGCAACATCACCGTGGGTAATTTAATAACTGCTACATTCGCTAGGTACATCCGAGTACTTTCTACAAAATGATACACGTCGGATGGTGTAAAAACATTAAAAATTAAAACTTAAAATATTCATGAGATTATTCAGTACTAATATACACACTGGATCATAATTCCGATTCTTCTTGTCTTTCAAACTAAGTTTTTCCAAGTTTCTCGAAGTTTAGAGTACATTTCAGAAGTACATTTGAAGTACATTTGAACACGCTTTAGTTTTTAACGACATAATCTACTTTTCTTTGAATCACTTTGAATATTTCGCAACTTTCAGTTAAAATTCCAGACTTTATCTCGCAGTAATATGCAATCAAACCTTTAATCTCGACCACCTTTAATCGACAAGAGATAGTCTTCCTTTTAGCGAACAAATCTCGTTTGATAAGCATATAGAATGTAAGATTTAAATTTGATTGAAATGCTGACGGTCATCAGCAAAGGAGTAGGTATTATCAACAGATTATTATTCAATTACATCACCCGATAATTATTAAAATAATCTTCTGAGATGATCTATCTAAATAATATATCTTTTATAAAAAATTTTGCACATCTCAAAAGTTGAGATCTTAAAGTTCAAAGATTGCGGATACTAAGTGCTAACATTAAATGCTAGGATAAATATTATATTTCTTTTAAATATTTTTATTTCGTAAATTTTCATTTTAGAATTATTAATATTTTCTAGTACATACATATGTATATATATATGTATATACAAGATATAATTGTTATAATTTTAAGCGTCTAGACGTCTAGACTGAGCTCATAAGATTCATATATCAAATTAAGATGCAGATAAAACGGATATGCGTAGTTCTAGAATCTAGATAATACATTGTCAACAATAACGTAAATCTTTTAAGACTGATAATTGTATTGTACACCTTTTTTATAGATTGTTATCGATTTTATCAAATATACAATAGATAAATAATCAAGATTTATTACTATATTCTAAAATAACGATAAAAAATCAGCTAATTACAGGTAAAATCGAGTTTAAGGAAACAATGCTTCTAACAAGAAAATTACTTAAAGATTATTTGCAGAATTATAACGATATTTGCTTATGAGATAACGAATAGACTGTAGAAATTTGTTCCACTGTGAGGAAAATTTCTAGGAATTATAACTGATATTGCAAAAATGTATAATTATGCAAACTAAATGTCATTTGAAAGAAACTGCTATATTTCTTTTGGACAATTTGAGTCTATTCAAGTGTCTATAAAATTTATATTAAAATTAATTTCTAAATTAAATTTTCAAAAGTATATGCGATTTTTAATTATATGATTATTATTATTACAATGTATAGAAACAAATATGCTTATAATTGTATACATATAAAGTTTTTGTGTAACGTACGTTGCTTTTGAAAGAAAGAAAGATCGCAGTATCTTCTTAAATTTGGAAAATAAGTTGCTTAAGATAGGAATTAATTTGGCCCGTTCAATCCCTTTATCTTCCTTTTTCTGCTTCGCAGGAATTATACATATCGAGATTTACGTCCGGACTAGGTATGGGCATTGCTTATGCAGCCACGCCGATGTATTTGGGTGAGATTTCACCGGCAGAGATCCGCGGCAATTTGGCATCCATGTTAACGGTAGCTGCAAAACTCGGCACTTCGCTCATGTTCATGATAGGCCCGTTTCTTTCGGTGAGAAATCTCGCCCTTATATCTTTGGCGGGACCGTTCCTATTTGTGATCACCTTCATCTGGTTACCGGAATCCCCGTACCACTTGATGCGCTGCGACGCCAGGCAGAAAGCCATAAACTCTCTTATTCAATTGAGAGGAACCAAGGATGTTTATAAGGAGGCAGATATTATTGAGCAATCCGTAAAAGCCGATTTGGCTAACGAAGCTGGTTTCCGTGAACTTCTATTTGTACCGGGAAATCGCAGGTAAAATATCAATTTTTGATTTATTGTGTCAATAATTATTCGCGCGAATCAATATAAAACTTTCAAAGATTCTTTGCCGCGCGGTATCATGATAATGGAAATATTAAATATTGGATTTAAAAATTTAACAAACAAGTTATTTATTATGTACAATTATGTATGTACATATAATAAATAACTTGTTTGTAAAATTTTATTATGTCCAATTTATTATGTACAATATATTATATATATAAATCGTCTCCTCTGTAGAATAATTATAAATATATTGTAATTAATTTGAAGAACATTGAAAAATATTTTCATTAATTAATTTTTAGTATCAGTAATGTTCAAGAGATTCGTAGTTGTTACAATAATTTTTAATAAAGTTAAAACTATCATTTTGGTAACAGAGAAGGATCCAATTAAGAAATCATTGAATAAATTTGAAATTTTACAGAGCTCTAATAACGTTGATGTGTCTGGGCATGGTTCAACAGCTGAGCGGCTCTCAAGCCGTGTTGCAGTACGCCCAAATGATTTTCGATGAGGCGCACGGTAATGTGGAAGGCAAATACTTGACTATGATACTGGGCGCTGTGCAGCTAGCCTGCGCGGTTGTCTGCATGCTGCTCACCGATCGCAGCGGCAGAAAGCCATTGTTGACCATCTCCGCCGTCGGTTCGGCGTGCTCCACCGCGATGGTCGCGGTGTACTTTCATCTTCAATACAATCGCGTGGACACCAGCGGTATCGTGTGGTTGCCCGCCACCGGCGTGATCCTATACGTGATCATGTACGCCCTGGGTCTGGCGGCGTTACCGTTCACCATGGCCAGCGAATTGTTCCCCACGAACGTGAAGGCCCTCGGCAATATGACAGGCATAACGGTTTTCCATCTCACAGCCTTCGTGGTGACGAAATTATTTCTGGTCTTAAGCGAAAGTGCCGGTCTGCACGCGCCCTTTTGGATATTCACCGCGTGCAGTCTCGCCGGTGCGGTATTCACGCTTCTCTACGTACCTGAAACCAAAGGCAGGACGCTGGAACAGATACAGGAAAAGCTGCACGGCGTGTCGAAACAAGGAGTAGAAAATGGAATACCTCCGCATGTCGAGCTATCCTCGACGAATATTTGAGGAATATTTACACCTTGTCGCAAGGAATATTCGCGTTTGATCGAGGAAAGTTTTCGAGATCGGATTTGCATCTGCCGCTGTAATTACCTCATCTAAAGTGATCTGCATTGTATATTTTTATTGTTGCTAAATGTAATTAACATAACATAATTAATGACATTAAAAATGTGATATCGATGAACATAATGAGTTTATGCTATCGAGCTTGTGCCACGCTCGAAAGGAGGAATTCTAAATCGACATGAAACCAATCGAAAAGCTGCTGAAGTTAAACTTTAGACGCTTTGGAAGAAACGGAAAAACTCAAACATGTCAAACAAAACTCATTTTTATTATCGCGTCGGAAGAGAAATGAGCAATACTTTATAAGGAAAGATTTACTGCAGTGTGGTTCCCTTTTAAATTAATTACTTCATAAATCTCTGTGAAAATATATGTACTTTAATGTATTGGAACCATTATTTAAAAGCGCCATTTATAATTTTTTTAACCGCGATTATTTATTCTACCTTGAACTTTCGATTTTTTGTAGGATATTTATAGCAATTTTTTAATACTTTTTTGGTAAACTTCAAATATGTACAACAGTCTCTGATGTTACAGAATTATATCACGATATGAAGAAGAAACTAAATTAATAAATTTTATCATTAATTGTAAGTATTTATAACAACTGCGTTTGTTTCATTTGCCTTTTCATTAGCATCTCCTTTACTTTTATATTATTTCTTCTCTTAAGTTCTACTTTCTTTTTAATTTCATTTTTACCATTTCAGCGTTTATTAACAAGTTTTTTCAACTTTTGTTTCTTAAATGCGGACTTATCTAGGTCTCGAGCAGAGAAACTAAGAAATTTCTAACTTATAGTGAACGTTGCTATAAAGAGGGAGAAATAAATTGATGTCGGTGGAGATTTTTTTAATAAAAAAATCCATATATTTACATGATAACACAGGAACTCCACGGAGAGCGTACAACAATCACATACATAATATTTTCAAGTTATTAACAATTGAATGTGATTGTGTTTCAAATATACTTTTCATGAGCCTTGATTATGCTCATCGTCGCTAGACGGTAAGGACTGGTTAACCATGATCGTTATAGCATCGCTGGGTTGCAGCCAGGTCCTCGCGTTACGCTCAATTTTCGGCGAACATGTTGAAATTTCTGCTATTGGCGTTTCTGAAATGCATTCAGATGGATATATCTTAAAGCATTCACCTGTCCATTTAATTATTTATGTTGCAAAATTTAATGATCAAAAATACAAATTCTTACTGGAAATAGTTTTCTTTTGAACATTCATTCTTCGAAAGAATATTACTTGACATAAAAAAAATTTCCACGAGATATACTTTCATAATGCTGAATATACATTTTTCATTATTTAATGAATATTCATGCTGAATATTCATTATTTAAAGTTATTTAGAGCACATAAGATAAGTTTTCAGAGAAGATAGAATAGTTGATTTTTACTTTCCTGAGACATACATTTGAAAAATACAACTTCGAAAGCGCGATATTTTCGTAAAATATTTCATACATCACATTTTGTAATAATTTTTTTTTTAACTCGAGTCGAGACGAAATCGCTCCGGCTCCAATTTTCAGTGACAAGCGAGGAGAGCTGTGACAAGTGCTGTGAGATGACAAGTGAAAATTGATACGTGACTGTTAGTAGGTTGATTTATGAAAATGGCACGGAGTATGCAACCGCGATGTTTCACCCGTGATAACAAGGTCTCTCTCTCTCTCCTCTTTTCGCGTTTTTAGATTTGCAACTTTATTTTTAGTTTTTTTCCAAAACGACAAATGTATAGGTATACATGCTTACCTGGCCTCTCTATTTGATGCGGCGATGCCGATGAATCTGGAAACTGAACGTGCTTCCTTGATACGCGACTCCCGGTAGGACTCTTCTCCGATAACAGAGGATTGTGACACGTTGTGGGACTCTGAGTCGGTGTTGCTTTTGTCTCATTGGTTACGCCTCTTCGTGAACTTAGGCAGGACGTGGTGGCGGTCGTTGTCGGTGGTTGAGTTACATATCTCACTACTGGAACCTTCAAAGGGTACTGCATGAGACATAAATGTGTATTGTACGGTGACAAAGTCTTGTTTGTAGAAACGTGGATTTAGCGAGCAACGAGAGAGGTTGCTCGATAAGAGGCTTAAAAATTATAATATATTGGCGTTTTATAAGAATTACCGAGAATTTCTGTTTATATGAGGATAATAATTTGAGGAAAGAATTCAATGCGACGCTTCCTTTCGACGTAAAAGGGAGGTTACAAATATATATAACGGAATCTAACAGACGATCGATTCCCTTAGGATTACGGGATAATTGACGTAACATAGTTGCTACAGATATTCCCTTCATTACTTTCTTAGTTTCAATCGTGTTTTTATTTTTCAGATTTTAGACTTCAACTATATAAAACTATATTCTTATTTCGTTTTTTATTATCACTCGCTATTATGGGGAGTCACAAACATCTGAATGATTAGTTCGGGAATCGTCTTAGATCTTACAATTAGTTGTTTGCGAACTACCTCAACACGTGAATCCGATAGCTACATTTGTTAGACAAAATGTATGCAATATGGCTGAATAATTTCACTCAACTTTTCTCTTATCCCATTGTTCTTTCCTCTGGGTAACTTTCGGAATACTGACCCTGTATTCGTAATCGTGCGCTGCGGTGCCGCGACCAGCTGAATATTCCTGATACTGCGAGATGACACATAATAGCGAGTATATCTGTAATAATATCTGTACTCAGTGTCGCGCGCGAGAGAGATTTTATACAATGCATAAATGCATAAATTTTGCATATTTAGTTGTTTTATAGATGGTTTACTAATCCTTCGTTTCTTTTTATTTATATTATTTCATGGAAAATATATATTTTTTTTACATTAACTTATATAATTATTTGTGAGGTAGAGATCATACACCACAATTTTATAAGTTTGAAATAATTTTAAGCGAGTGTATTAGCTCCCAATTATTTTAATTGTGATGAATACATGCAATTATTTGTCAAATGTACTCACGTTTAAGCAAAGTAGAAAGAAATTTAACGTGTAGAGCATAAGTTTCGTTGGATTGAAATCAGGCTGTAACAGATCAATTTTACAGAAATTATACACACAAGCTTTATTTCATGTAAGTATACAAATGCATTTAAAAACTTTCACAACGATTTGAAAAAAGACGTAACCATATTTATGTACGTCTGTCTTTTGTTAAACGCATTTTCTATGATTTATTTTAAAAGACTGCCAAGTTTAATTTTAGTATTTTTCTTGTAAAGAACAGCGATAAAATAGTTACGAGCCTTTCAAGCGGTTTTACTCATAAATTCCAATCGTTACAAAACGAGAGAGAAAATAAAAAAAAACAAGTGGAAGCTAAAAAAGGTAAAAAGTAAAATGTATTTTATATATCACACAAGAAATTTTATTAAAACCGGGTGACAACAAAATCCAAAAAGAAGTTTATTGCAAAGTTCCCTAAACTTCATAGAACGTGACATTTGATTAATTATAAATTCAACATAAGATGCAGTCTGAATATATGAAGCAAATATTGACTTTAAAAAAATCGTATACTCGAGAATAGGCGTAACTGAAGGAGGTTTACTCCTGTGAGCTTGTTTTCAAACTTACGCCTCTTTTCTGTCAAACTTTCAAACTAGTTCTTACTTTCACACTGTTAAATCTATATTGTCAAACTGAACCTTGTTTAAGTCGCAACTGCTCCTACTTAATAACTAGTTATTTTGAACTAAAACAATATAGTTATTTTTAAATAAAACAATGGAATATAACCCAAATTTAAGTTAAATTTAAAATGTTTTAAATTATTTAACTCCATTATTTTAGTAAAAAAGAACTATTTATTAAGTAAGAGCAATAGCGACTTAAATAAGATTCAGTTTGACACTATAGATTTAACAGTGCAGAGAGCTTTCGTCGAGCCGATTTTTACCGAGGAAAAATAACTTACTGATGATATATCGTAGGATGTAGTGGAGCATTACAGTTTCATATCAGTTAACCAGCGATAATCGGACCATTATTAGTATATCAAATATTTTAGACAATTCATAAGAAGATAGGTTTGTAAGGAACACGGGTTCTTTTACGTTCCTCACGTGCAATCATAAGAAATCAATTATTATTACGCCAAAGTGTGTTTAAATGTGGGAAAATATAGTCTAAACTCACTGAGACGAAGAAGAGATACAAGGAATGTGCTACGTCGATGATGCCGCACGTGATGACTGCGACGATCCATGGAATCAGCAGCATCTTGCGATCCTGAAAACAGTTATTTGTGTTAAAACAAACGGCAGCTTGTAAAAGAGAGGTAACTCATGTCTGTACAGAGAAATAAATTTTTTCTGAATAATCGCTTTAGTATAAAAACTTTATTAAAATGGAAACGTAATATTGTATCAACGTAAAATTTTTTAATAAATATTTATTCTATACCGCACTGCCCGTAACCATCGCACTACACGGAATACTCAGAATTTTAATTATGTGCATTTTTTCGTTAACAATTCTTTGATAAAATAATAAAAAGAAGCGCGATGTGTGCTAACGAAGATTTCTCTAATATAAAATGCAATATGTAGGGGTAACGCGGCAAGTATATTTGTTTCCGTCATATTAAACATCCTTTGTAACGCACGGAAAATGTATTCACCACGTTATCGGTATCTCCCGTCATTAATATTCATGACTGTGTATACTTATACATTACGTTCCTTTCGCGCGAACGTTATAGCTTGTTTTGTTAATGATATTCGTCGTAGTGTCAAGCAAGTACTCAGAATAATTAAGACTCTTAACGTGTTCTCTCGCTCCCAAGTTTTTTTTTGCAGGTCCGCCCACGTGAGTTACGATCTTTATCGCTCATAATAATATCGCGCACGCAAAGCGGATTATGTATCACGCTATTGGCAGCTTATATGTTAAAAGCATAAAAAATCTCGCTCAATAGAGAAGCAATGTATCGATACTATAGCTTGGAAAAAAATTAAAAATAAAAGATTAATATACGTTGTTATATGTATGTTTTTATCATAATTATAACAAATAAATAAAAGTTAAAAACTTTTAAATTTAATTGAAATCTTCATACACTTGAATATTTATCTGATTATGCTGTTTAAGAATTATATTTTAAAAGTACAAAAATAATCCAGAAGCTAATTAGAAAAATTGTGCTCTACATTATCTGATACTATATTTAAAAACGTGTTAAAATCATGACAATAACGAGCTAGAAACTAATAAAAAAAAATGGGGAAAAGTTTTGTCAAAAGCCTCAGATATTACTAAACTTATTAAAAATAGTTTATAAATTGTTTACTCAAACGTCCATTCTACGTTGTCTAATGGCACGTATCTCTCGGGAATAACGCGTGTGCGTCATACCTGTGTAGCTTTTCATACACGATCCATACGGGAGCAGCGATAATACAGTTTTATCACGTGCCAAGTGGGAGCGAAAATCTCTTCTACTGCATTCTCATAGGGTTGAGTTTAGTTGCAAATGTAATAGATAATAAATGAAAATGGCCACAAGAGTCTACATTTCGAGTAAGAGAGAGGTAGACAAAAGGTTTTCGTATTATATGCGCAGAGCAATAGGATGCAAATTTGGCTGTTCGGTTAAACGTAATATAGAAGTTGTAATAGAAAATGTTTACAAAGATTATCACGGGATTATAAAATAATAGAACGGGAAAAAATTTAATAATTAATATTAGACAATTTCCTACCTAATATTAATAACAGAGCCTAATGCAACAATCTAATGTAACAATAGAAACGGAAACAATCGGAATTCTACTGCATTTCCAAAATTGATCTGCCGTATCTCTCCGCAACGATTAAAAAAAAAAAAAACATAAAGAATGGAATCATTTTGTGTGACGCGTACCGTCATAATCACTCTAAAATTTCGCCCTACCTTGTATAAGCCGTACAAAAGAAGGAGACTGCACAGCACGCCGCAGCAGGAGCAGATAAGCAGCATTCCGTTGAATTGAACCGTCGCTGAAGCAATGTAAGCAATACAATATCGTTTAAGCGAAGCCGACTACTTTAAATGTATAAGGACAATTCCTGCATGCGCGAATGAATCGTAAACTTCGTTTCGATCGAGACCCGAGAAACTTTTGTGCGGAGCGGAAAGAATTAGATACCGTTAACTCACACTATAATACCATCTACTTGCTATCTACTGTCTATACTTACCCGGCGATATGGTCCCTGATTCCAGAAAGCTAGACGATTCCGGTAGGGAAACGATCCCCTTTAAGTACTGACTCTCCTCCCGAAGGATCGCGCCGGTAGTCGACGCTAACAACGTGAAGTATATCTAGAGTATGAGAACCGAGGGGGAGGATTGTTATTAATTTATATTGATAAAACACGCGGCGCGTTAAAACGCGATAAAATCCGCTCGACAACGTAAAATCTCGCGAGTGCCAAACTCACGAAAAACTTTACGCGTCATCGAGACGTCGCCTATTAAATATGCATTAAGATTCAATTTACTTCAGTAAAATCATTGATTAAGATTGATTTAACGTCATTATAATGAACGTTAATTAAACTTTGGTAGAAAATTTCTCTATATTTTATTAGTGTATAAACGATTCGCTCTGCATAATGCATTCGATATATCCACTCGCATACAAGCGTCATTAACATTCGCGATTTAATCTTTTCCCATTGTGTCGCACATTTGATTGGGTAGATCTATACTCGATCCCGGTTTTCAGGCTACGCATCGATATTTTAGATATCGATTTTACGGGGGCGGGGAAAGTAGAGAGAGAGAGAGAGAGAAAGAGAGAGAGAGAGAGAGAGAGAGAGAGAGAGAGAGAGAAAAGGGGAGCGGAAAGAGAGGGAGACAAAAGGCGGATGACGCGAGCTCGATGTCCAAAGGATAATTCGATTTCGCATCGGTAAGCTCGGTGGCAATCCTGTCGGCAATTTACGGGGCGGAGGACACACATACATGCCCGTCGCAATAATCCGAGTTAGTTTAATTCGGGGTAGGTCATCGGCAGGGGTGATCTCTCGTCGATGGTATCCAATTCTACGCGGGCGTCTCGTGGTCGGCGACCACGATAATTCTCCGATAAACGCGAAACATCCCCAACTTTCCACCACCAACCTCCGCTTCTTTTCTCCCTCGCACGTCAACCCGAGATAATTGCGCGCCACAAGTGTCCATGACGCGTAATTTCTACACGAAAAGAACGATTTCGTTGAAAGACCTAAAAGTTTTGCTAAAACCAGATCTGAAAATAATTTTTTATTGAATCATCAAAATAATTTGTTGGAAAACTGCATGATAAGTATTGCTATAAAACGTTTGATATTCTAGCAATCATTTTGACTTTCGCACAAAATAATTTTGATTATTAAACAAAAATTATTTTCAGATAATCTGGATTCAGCAAAATTGTTCTTTCCGCGTGTATTCTATTTGCAAGAAGGTATAGGAGAGGCGTGGATTGCGTCGCTTTGTGAAAGACGGAAGATTTCGGATATTACAATTTTTTTCGCGAATATATTCGCGGCGCTCTCTTTTAGCCCCCGCTCGATCCAATTATTTAAATTCACATATTCCTCTTGTCAGTCGCGATTTTCATCCGCCGATATTACGATATATTGCGAGACGTAAAACCAAATCAGTCCGACGCGCGAATCTAATATCGCGCTATAATTAACGAATTAATACCAGGCTTTGCACGATCCGATACGTCGAAACACGATCACATTGGTGCGCGAGCCGCGAATTTGAAATGTCGAGAAACGTTAAATCGTAAATTATGCATTCGAATTTAAAACGCCGCGCGTGAGAAGCATAGGTGCTGCAAAGTGCATTTACATTAGATTTCTGTCGACTTGGATTTGAGTCAAATCACGGACTAAGTTTATCAGACTACGCATTGGAGATTGAGGATTGCGAATTGACAATTAGAATTTGACACAGATAATTTTAATTTTAATCCATTTCGTTCTAAAATCGTAAAATTTGTAAAATTTGTAAAATTTCGTCAATTCGCAATTTTCATTCTTCTGCGTAGTTGATAGACTTCACGGTAGCAACCTCTAATTTTTATTAAACCGCAATTGTTTCGAGATAACGCCCAGAATTGTATCCAAAGGAGAAAATCTACTCAATAATGCTACAAATGCTTCGAAACATTTAATTGACCAATCAGAAGAAAGAATTATACTATAATAATACTATATAGTCAATTATAATTAACCAAACAACGAATTAGTTTAAATCATAAAATTAAAATTATTCTTAAAATAAAATTAAAATAAATTTTATTCATAAGATTAAAATTAAAAAATAGTAATATGTAGAGGCTAATGAGCCGAGCTGGATATTCGTGCTGTTATCGTTTGGCTTATTAGATTACATGACTTTCTTTACGTAACATCGTATCTTAATTTCATCGTATTCTTATTTTACGTAACGTCGTATTTTTCAAATAATATACAATAAAAGGACTAACTATAACCAAGCTGAATATACTTGCTAACAATGTATATTAAAATAGATAGACAACGATCATGTCAAACTATAAATATGCCAACAACACGCTTTAATAAGTACAAATATTTCGACCCTAAAATTAGTGATCATCCTCAATGAATTTTAATAACAAACTTAACAATCAATATTAAAAAATTGCTCATACACATTTGTCATTATTTTTTGACAGGTACACGGAGAGAATTTTCTTTCAAAATTTACCCTGAAAATCATGTTAATTGTGAGACAATATAGTATTTAGGTAAATTTTACTGTGCACTACAATAAATTTTACTGCGAAATCTTATTGTAGTGCACAGTAAAATTTGCCTAAATACCATATTGTCCCATAATTAACGTGATTTGCAGGGTAAATTAAAAAAAAAATTCTTTCCGTGTATCTTTTGATATTTTCGTCTTCAATATTTTTATTATGTGTACCTAAAATATAACTCGGTTCATTAGTATTTAGTCCTTATATCATTACATATCTTTCAAAGGCTTGAAATACCTATTTAAAAGCTCAAAATATTTAAAATGCTTCAAATATTCGTAGCATTAAATGGATTGTAGCCCGAGACAAGTCCGTGTCGTGTTTTCGAGCCGGGATTTCTCCGAAGTGACGAAAAAACCCCGGCGGAAAAAACGTAAACAAATAGTCCTCGTCGCGCGAAATTCTCGGAAAGCGATGCCTGGGCGCGGGGCGAGCGAAACTGCACACGGCACGCGAGCAGGGTGCTGCAGGCGGGCGAGCGTACCCGCGCGCCCCGGCAGTCCGCTCGTGCCTTCGCGGCCGCCCGCCCGGCCTGGCCGTCAGATCGCGGTCGATCGCGATCGCTCCGCTCTTCTCGCCCGTCCCCGTTCAATTCATTCGCAGTGAGTTTCGCGCCTTTCGCGACGGTCGATCGCCCCGGCCGGCGACGTTCGCGGGCGGACGTGCGATCGACAGCGTTGTTCGATACGCTCGATCGGAGTGACGAGCCGCGCGAGTCCCGGTTCGGTCGAATCGCCATTGTTTCTCGCTCGCGCGTCAATCGGCGAGCCTTGCATTATACTTGACGTGTAACATACGGAGTAGCACCGAATTTCAGTAGTTTATAGTTTAACGCCTGACGTATATATGCGCGCGTAATGTACCGCGGGAGTGCCGCGGTTCGGTGACGGGCTCGGTGCGTCAATCGGCGCGGACGAGCAGGCATTTTAGCGAGCGTCGCTCGAAATTCGTTGGGTCGAGTAGACGCCGCGGAGTTTATCGGAGAGAGTCCGTCGAAATCCGTTGGAGTTTGTGTACTCGTACGCGGGCATCTCGCATCGTCCCGGATCATCGTGCGGGGATACCGCGAGAGAATCATCGGGTTAAGGATCTCCGTGAGATCACCGCGAGAAGGATCACGAGGATGAAAGGTTATCGCTGTCCGTGGTTTTGAGTAACGGTCGAGCTATGCGCTCGCGCGTCCGCCATGTTCGTCGTCACGTAATCGCGTGATTTTTCGAACTTTCCGTCGAAAAGCGCGAGCGGAACGGGACGGCGTCGCGCGCCAGGATTATCACCATGGCATGATTTCGTTGATTTTTAATTAGTGATTTTTTTTGAGTTTTTTCGTCGAACGCGTAAACAAATATCCTCGTCGCGCGAAATTCTCGGAAAGCGATGCCTGGGCGCGGGGCGAGCGAAACTGCACACGGCACGCGAGCAGGGTGCTGCAGGCGGGCGAGCGTACCCACGCGCTCCGGCAGTCCGTTCTTGATCATATATTATACGATGTTATATTAATTAATTATTATATTAATGCGATATTATATAAATTAATTTCTATATATGCTTGCTGCGAGTAAAACACATTTTCGCGATTTTCGTAATTCGGACTATATACGTGCGCGTTTTAGGAGATTTGAGGATTGCGAATTCAAGCTGATTAGAATTCAATTAGAATAAAACGGATTGAAATTAAAATTATCTAATTAGTCAAATTTTAATCCGCAATTTGCAGCTCTCAGGCTCCGATGCGTTATAGTCTGTTACGGAGTTTAATAGGAGGTCTGCTCTAAGGTATCTGTTCCTCAGGTACTACGTTAGATATATCATGTTTTGGACTTTCCGCACTTGGAAAACAGGCAGGTATTATAATTAGACGTCGGGGAGAAAATATAAAGAGAAAGATGAAGAGTGCGAAAGAGTCGGTTACGAAGAAAAAAATTCTTAAATTATTTCATGTTTATTTACATTTATACATTAAAATTATCTACGTATTTAATTCCTTTGCTTTTAATTATTTTATTTATATAATTAAAAAAAAGGAATCTAAAGCTCACGTTCTCGCTCGCGACGTTCACCGCGCCGGAAATCGAACTCGGCGAAATATTAATGCGTCGGGTCGGGAAGTCGGAATCTGCGAGTGATCGTCGACGGGGCGATTCAACGAGTGAATTTGCGATCGCGCGTGAATAAGACAAAATGCGTGATAGCATGCGGAAGAGCCTGCAGATTTCGTAACCCCGGGGAATGCCATGCCGCGCGCGGAATAACGGAACCGAAAATCTAGCTCGGTGTATGCACGCTCGTGCGTGCGCGCGCGCGCGCGTGTATGTGTGTGTGTTCGTGCGTGTGTGTGTCCGCCCGCGCGCGCGAGTGTGTATGCACAGTGCTTAATTAAGCGTATGCCGATGAGAGGATGGCTGGAGAGGAAGGATTAATCGGGAGCACGAAGGAAACGGGATACAGCAAACACGGAACGGCTATCAAGCAGTCGAGTTGACGGATGACATCAACAGCGGTGAGTGAATATTTGTTTTCATTCGCGCGAATGCGCCGCGAT